TAAATACGTCTTTTCTTGTTTTTCAAAAATCTTCTCGGTTCAAAATATGCAAAGTTCCAAGATTTTTAAAGCTGCAAACATTTATCAACAGAGGACAAGATCCAAAGTTTTCCAGAAAATGCAATAAAGTTTTGAATCAAACCCCGATCTCATAATTTACTCTTGTGGTCCAGGTCAACAAAGACCGTAATGACCCTCAGGAGGGAAGGGAGGCAGAGTCCTTTGCACAGTTTTCAGTTTGAAATGAGAACGCTGCTCCGATGAGAAGCCAAATATCTTCAGAATACTAAGAAAGAAGTCACTAAAACAACTTTGAAAAGTCCTATGACTGGGAATCTATGCGACAGTTGGGCAGTATTATTTTTTCCAGAGGGTCGATTTGACTCTTATTGGGATCACAAAACAAACTGAAATATTGCACAAGATGCTGCATGTGTCTGTCATACACCACATTGAATCATTCGCAAAAAGACACTAAAAATCACTGTTTTAATTGATGCAAATGACAATGCTACAAGGAAATGTTTTGTTTTAAACTCAATTACCAGGTAAATGCATCCCAAATGAACCCATGATTTCATGCAGGTGAAATATCCAACTACCGAGAAGTAGTTTTAGAAAGACTCGAAATATGTAACTTTATCGGTGTACCCACCCACTGAGCATATCCCAAACAATGTTTTAATTCAGTTCAGTTTATTTAGCACCAAGTCCCAACAGAAGTCGTCTCAGGGCACTGAACAAAAACAGTCATATACATTATAAAAGTCCATTACGGTAGTAAAAGTTATTGATCTAAGGGAGCCAGCAGATTGCGTTGAATCTTCACTGTCACAGTCTGCCATCCTGAACAAGCACAAAGGTAACAGTGGAAAGGAAAAACTCCCTTTTAACAGATGGTTCCACAAGAGAGGAGCCTGATAACTGAAAGCTCTGCCTCCTATTCTACTTTTGGAAACTCTAGGAACCACAAGTAAACCTGCAGTCTGAGTGCAAAGTGCTCTGTTAGGAAAATATGGAACAATAAAATCTGTAACTTAAGATGGATTTAGGTTGTTGAGAACTTTGTACATTAGAAGTAAGATTTTGAGTTCTGTTTTGAAGTTGACATGGAGCCAATGGAGAAAAGCTAAAACTAGAGAAATATGATCTTCCCTACTAGCTCTCATTAAAACTCTGGCAGCAGCATTTTGGATCAACTGAAGATTTTTTAAAAATTTAAAGAATTTTTTAATTAAAATGATTCAAACATTTATTCTAGCATTAACCGTAAGACTGACATAATAATCAGAATGCTGATTTTTTTTTTATTTAATAACCCGCAACCTCCTGAAAATGGGTCTGTGACCCACAAGATGAGAATAACTGGATGGATTACCCCTTTAAGTCTTCATAAAACAGAAACAAACAAAAACAGGTAGTGGTCCAAGCACACAGCCCTGTGGAACTCCACAAATGACTCTGCTGTATGATGACAAAACGTCATTTAAGAAAACAAAACATACATTATGACTGAAACCAGCTTAAAGGTATTCTCCAGACACCTCCCTGACATGCCCAAGTACTTGTAAGATAATGTATTTGAATGCAGAACTGAGTCACCACAGTTACAAGTATTTTATACAAAAACATGTTCAGTCAGTCAAAAAGGGGTATCAAGTTTTGTATTACAATTTTTTTTTAGTCCACAACCTCCTGAAAACAGGTCTGTGACCCACAAGATGAGAATAACTGGACTAGACTCTTCAAGGCTTCATAAAACAGAAACAGTAGTGGTCCAAGCACATACCATAGTAGCTCTATGGAACTTCACAACTACCTCAGCTGTGTGAGAATAATTGCTAATTTACAAAATCAAACTACAATATGACTGAAACATGCTTAGAGGCATTTTCTAAATGCCTCCCTAATATGCCCAATCCTGGTATTTGAATGCAACACGATGACCCTTAGTTTTCTGCTTTTAAACTCAGACAAGACTGAAGTTTTAGTTTTTGGACCTGAGCATTTTAGGAATAACATTTTCAGTCTTTTGTCCTCCTTGGATAGCATTATTCTGGCCTCCAGCTCTAATGTTAAAAATCTTGGTGTTATTTTTGATCAGGGCATGTGTTTTAACCCCCATATTCAAAATAATATTGCTAAAATTAGAAACATCTTATCTAAAAATGATGCAGAAAAGCTGTTTCATGCATTTTTCATATCTAGACTGGACTATAGTAATGGTTTGTTATCTGGGTGTCCAAAAACTTATTTAAAACGTCTTCAGTTAATCCAAAATGCTGCTTCCACAGTCTTAATGGGAGTTAGGAGGAGCGATCATATCTCTTCAGTTTTAGCTTCTCTCCATTGGCTCCCTGTCATATCCAGAATGGAATTCAAAATCTTTCTTCTAACTACAAAGCTCTCAACAACCTAGCTCCTTCTCATAGTCGAGATCTTATTGTTCCATATATTCCCAACATAGCACTTTGCTCTCAGACTGCAGGTTTACTTGCGGTTCCTAGAGTTTCCAAAAGCAGAATGGGAGGAAGATCTTTCAGTTCTCAGGCTCCTCTCTTGTGGAACCAACTTCCAGTTTCTGTCAGTGAAGCTGACACATTGTCCAGTTTTAAGACTGGACTTAAGACTTTCCTTTTTGATAAATCCTTTAATTAGTAGGCTTGGTTTCCTGACCTATTCCTTATCCTATGCTGCTATAACCTTAGACCACTGGAGAACAAATGGACCTCATTTCATCAAATGAACAGTTACAGTACATACAAATGAATAGTTTGTATTTATAATTATCTTTCTTAACATGTTATTTCTGTCTTTTTGTCTTTCCTCCTAGAGTAAATATATATATATATATATATATATATATATATATATCACTTCACCACTTGCTCTTGTCGAGGTCAGACGCTTTTACCCTCCTCTCCCTCTCTGCTTTGTTTTGCTGCTCTGTCTTGTCTGTGAAACTGCTTCTGAGCCTGTCTGTATGTATCTTCCGAACTATAATTATGGACTTGATTTGATCAGTTGGTCCCTCAACACAATTGATAACATTTCAAAGAAGAGAAGACAAGCTTTAGGTGAGCCGATTTGCCCTGTTGGCACGCATGCAGCTGGATATCTCATTGACTCGAAGACTTGATGATGTGTCTATCTCTGCTGCCATTTGTGGATTTTAAGGACACATATTTAATTGAATTTACGATAACTGGTTCCTGCTTTTTGGTTTTGGCTGGTTGCTGGTTTTATCTACAATCAAGGAAGTCGTCGACAGCAAATTGGGACCCGATCACGCTGCTTGCCTTTATGAAGGCTTGGTTCTTGCCTCGAGTACCCAGACTCAAATGCTTTGGGCAGAATGGATCAGATCTCGGGGATTTTACTCAGGCACGTTTCCATCGGAGTGGCTGTGTAATTTGGACATTTCAGAACCGTTTGGACCAACACAGATTCAAGGTATATGTCATTAAGTTCTGCCTGTCCCCAAAACAACTGTGTGTTTATCTAAATTTGGCTCCCCTGGCTGGCCTTGAAGGCCACCTTATCTGTATTTGCCTGGAGAAAATGTAATCTGATGCTCCACCCCCTACCCCACCCCACCCATTGAGGAATTTCCAACTGATCAAACAGAGGAAACCAGCTGAATAAACATTGTGTCATCATTTCAGGACTGTTGGATTCCCATAGGTGTTGTCCTTGGCCATTCCCCGACATCCCTCAAGAATGTTTATGGATTTCATTGGGGAGAACTGGTTGATTATTCCATCTTTATCAGAACTCTTAGTGTCCTCGAGAGCGTCCATGGACATTGCTCACCGCTCTCGTCATCTCCCCCCTCTGTGGAATGTTTACGTCACTATGTGCTGTTTGTGTGAGGTGTTTTTTTTTTATATTGGCGTTTTTCTTCTCAGCCAAGAAAGAGTCTGATAGAAATTTTTTGCCTCCAATTCCTACTTGTGTCCAGTTTCATTACTTTTTTTGTCTGTCTAAACAGATCTCACTTGTAAATTAGTCTTCTAGGCTCAATGTGATTTATCTGTCTAAATAAAGGTTGAATGAATGAATGAGTAAACAAACTGAATTAAATGAACATTGATGTCCACCACATATTTTCACTCAAAATAAACTTTTAGTCATTAACCAAGGCGAATCAAGTTTGGTATTAAAAATATTTTTTTAGCCCACAACCTGTTGACAATTAGTCAGTGACCAACCAGATGAGAACTGAACTGTCAAGGATTCAGAAAACAAGAACAAACAAAAACAGGTTGTGGTCCAAACACACAGCCTGTTGGAACTCCACAATTAACTCTGCTGTGAGGATGGTTCATCAGTTATGAAAACAAATTACATTAGCCTATAAATGAAACCAGCTTATTGGTGTTCCCTAAACGCCCTGAGAAAGCACGGAGTTCCACCACACATTTATTTTCACACAAAAGAAACTTTCAGCCACAAAGGTGTATCAAGTTCAGTTCAAACTGTTTTATTTTTCTAGTGGCACCCTCAGCTGTACAGCTGTGGTTTGTATGGGGGTGGGATGGGTGGGGGTCAGTGTGGGGGGAGTCTTTGCTCCTGCACCGCCTGCAGAGGTTTCTCCAAAGAGAGAGAGAGAGAGTGGATTGGCTCGGTTTCCTTTCTCCTCTCCTCCCTCTGCTTTCTCTCCCAAACCTCACAGTCTCTCCAGAGCAACAGGCGAGGAGAAGAAGGAAGAGAAAAGAGAGCAACGAGAAAAGAGAGCAACTATAGCAACTTTTTTTTTTAATTCTTCTTTTTTCTTTTTGAGCCCGGGGGCGACGGCAGGCCTCCATAAAGGATGGGAAACGTGGCGCTTTTTCAGACGGATCACTTGGATATGAGAGGGAAGTGAAAACAGGAGGGAGGACGCCAGAGTTTTCCGTCGGGGTAACGAAGCAGGCGCCTGCGAGCCTCCCCCCACCTCCCGCTCAGCGTGTGATTTAATGTCCCCGGATCTCTGCGGAGGGCAGTGAAAGGATGCCAGGATGCCCTGTCTGATCTCCCATCTGCTTGTCGTCTGGCTGAGCGTCCACAGGCTCGTGTGGTGCTCGGAGCGCGCGCCCTCCTCTGCGCGCGAGCGCTTCAAGGTGGTCATCGCTCCGGTCATCTGCAAGCGGGTCTGCCTGAACGGACAGTGCCACGACCGGTGCGAGCAGGGCAACAACACCACGCTGATCGCGGAGAACGGCCAGGGGGCCGACACGCTCATCGGACAGGGCTTCAGGGTCGGTGAGTGACGGACACGGAGCGGGGAGAGGCGCTGACCTCTGGGGCTGGTGGCTCATAAACACTGTCCCCGCCACCGCCAATAAATGGACTCGCTCTAACTAGACAGGGTGTCGATCAGCTAAAGCTATGACTTTGCTATAGTTTAAAAGTTGATAAAGTCCACTTTTTGATATACAGTGCTAGTGGTGTTTGGTTAAAAGGAACGGTCACCATGGTAACCAATGCCGCTCTCCTACAGCACTCAGAAAGGCAGACAGAAAGGCAGACTAAAAAGTAAGTCTCAATTATACAATCCCCTGTGCGTCATAGCATAAATATTTTTGAACTATGAGCAGCAGATCACTCTGAAGGCAACTTGTGGATTCTTATATCTACGTTTTTTTTTTTTTTATTTAAATAAGCGATATGGTAAATAAAGACCTGTCTCATCTTAGGTTTGAAAACAACATTTTTCTAGAATATAATAGGATTTTTTTCAGCCTTTTTACAGTTACTAATATGCATGCTCAGTCTATTTTGCGATAAATTGCGGTTTAGATATATACTTCCAGATAGTCAATAAACAGTGTTCATATCTGCCTATATGTTTCATGCTTTTCGGTTCTGACATCCAGCAACATTGCACCTTGAGGATCTTTTGCTCTCACAACATTCAAAAAACTAATATAACTGATTTATAAATACAATTGTATAAAAAAGTCAATAAAACTCACTAAATGACATTGAATACTTGAAATAGCTATCACTGTATTGGATCTCATGGTGCCATGCATTACACATGCATAATAGTGGCTGTAAAAACGTTAATGATTCAAGGTTTTTTATTTGTAATACACACCACATGTGGTATGTGGGGTGGAATGAAATTGTGTACACAGGGTTCCAGTTACATCCAACAAAAATATAAAATGTAAAAAAAAAAACGGTAATAAAATGAGTGCCTGTAAATGCACTGAAGTGATATGAGAGGAAACCGTCAGTCTATAGCCGCATTAGACACACTGGGAATTAAATAAATAAACAAAAAGCCAAGTATTTCATGCATGATTCACATGTGCACTAAAAAGAAAATTTTGTTTTCAAACTTTTGAAACAAGACAGAGCTCATCTCTGTGAAAGCTTTTTTGAAAACATCTGTAGAAAAATCACAAAACAAGCTGGTCTTGTGTAAAAACCATTAAATATCTGAAAATGCCACTTCAGTCATGAGAGGTCCAACTTTCTGTGGCCCGTTTCAACCTTTAAATTATGTCTCTACCTAATTATGGCTGAGCTCCAAAGAGGACTAGGCTTTCACAGTTGTGCACTATAATTCAGTTGTTGAGTATTGGGAAATTAATTGTAGTTTTTTTGAGAAATTTGGCCACATTGTACAATGTAACACAACCAAAGGTTCCCATACATTTTAATAGATAATTTGCATATTTTATCACAACTCTGGGGTCTGAAAACTGACCAAACTTGTGAACAGAATACTAAATGCTTTAACAGTTAAAACTTGAGAAAACTCTAAAATCCAAAATAATAAAAAAAACCCTCTTAAAGTCTCACTGATAAATATTGTATCGGAAGGCGAGGTAGATCATCTGTTATATGTTTGTGTTTCTTCTTATTTTTTATTATTTGTACAAAGAAAGGTGTATGAACAAATATCATAGAACACAGCAGTCCATGACACTTTGCAATGTCCATCTGAATTTAGTTAGAAAAAAGACATAGACCAAAGATGATAATTCTTAATAAATTCATTTGAATTGTCTTTTCAAGTTTTTTCTAGCTTTACATTTACAAACCGGATTCCAAAAAAGTTGGGACACTAAACAAATTGTGAATAAAAACTGAATGCAATGATGTGGAGATGGCAAATGTCAATATTTTATTCGTAATATAACATAGATGACAGATCAAAAGTTTTATCTGAGTAAATGTAACATTTTAAAGGAAAAATATGTTGATTCAAAATTTCACAGTGTCAACAAATTCCCAAAAAGTTGGGACAAGTAGCAATAAGTGGCTGGAAAAAGGAAATTGAGCATATAACGAACAGCTGGAAGACCAATTAACACTAATTAGGTCAATTGACAACATGATCGGGTATAAAAAGAGCTTCTCAGAGTGTCAGTGTCTCTCAGAAGCCAAGATGGTAAGAGGATCACCAATTCCACCATTGTTGCGCAGAAAGATAGTGCAACAATACCAGAATGGTGTTACCCAGCGTAAAATAGCAAAGACTTTTGAGTTATCATCATCAACCGTACATAACATCATCAAAAGATTCAGAGAATCTGGAACAATCGCAGTGCGTAAGGGTCAAGGCCGTAAAACTCTACTGGATGCTCGTGATCTCCGGGCCCTTGAACGTCACTGCACCTCAAAAAGGAATGTCACTGTCAAGGAAATAACAGAATGGGCTTAGGAATACTTCCAGAAAGCATTGTCAGTGAACACAATCCACCGTGCCGTCCGCCGTTGCCAGCTGAAACTCTACAGTGCAAAGAGGAAGCCATTTCTAAGCAAGCTCCACAAGCTCAGACGTTTGCACTGGGCCAGGGGTCATTTAAAATGGAGTGTGGCAAAATGGAAGACTGTTCTGTGGTCAGATGAGTCACGATTTGAAGTTCTTTATGGAACACTGGGACGCCATGTCATCCGGACCAGAGAGGACAAGGATAGCCCAAGTTGTTATCAACGCTCCGTTCAGAAGCCTGCATCACTGATGGTATGGGGTTGCATGAGCGCTTGTGGCATGGGCAGCTTGCATGTCTGGAAAGGCACCATTAATGCAGAGAACTATGTTCAGGTTCTAGAACAACATATGCTCCCATCTAGACGTCATCTCTTTCAGGGAAGACCCTGCATTTTTCAACACGATAATGCCAGACCACATTCTGCAGCAATCACAACATCATGGCTACGTAGGAGAAGGATCCGGGTACTGAAATGGCCAGCCTGCAGTCCAGATCTTTCACCTATAGAGAACATTTGGTGCATCAAAAAGAGGAAGGTGCGACAAAGAAGGCCCAAGACGATTGAACAGTTAGAGGCCTGTATTAGACATGAATGGGAGAGCATTCCTATTTCTAAACTTGAGAAACTGGTCTCCTCTGTCCCCAGACGTCTGTTGAGTGTTGTAAGAAGAAGGGGGGATGCCACACAGTGGTAAAAATGGACTTTTCCCAACTTTTTTGGGATTTGTTGACGCCATGAAATTTGGAAACAAC